TAGTATAATTAAATAATATCAATCAATCATACTCACACGTCACATTTATTTTAATTCACTATTTATCCATTCATATAATTTTTTTACTCACTTCCAATCGTCTATCTCTTACTTTTACACCAAATAAACTTTTTTATTATTACATTTTAAATATTATTTTAATACAAACTTAAAATCTCACTCAATCATGCACTCAATGAACTTTATTAATCCAATACAAAATAATATTGTGTCCATCCGATACATATGAGATGTACTAGTGTAATTTATTAGGCGAGAACCAACCAATTCAAAATCATACGACGACTTTTCACGATAGTTAGTTCAATTCCGTCTCGTCTGTTTGACACATCTAACTATATTATCTACTACGTAAACAAAGGAACTATGTTCGTATAAATAAATAAACTGCAAACATACACTTGACTAAAACATGAATCTTATTAAAAATGGTATTTGTCATAAATTCAAAAACGAGCTTTTGCAGTATACCCTGACACCTCCTTCATGCATGAGCTCCCCAACCCATCTGAGTTGTTGCAGTCTGTTCGCCTCTCTCAATTTATGGAAGCCATCTTTCAGTATAAAAATCTAAGGATCATTTAATATTCTTGTATTAAGCTCATTCCCGATTTCCTTCCTAAAACACTGTTTGTAGGAAGACAAGACCTGGACCCAGCTGTTCCACATCCAAGAGGGAGATTGTGAACTTCTGGCTTCCAACACAACACCAAAGGGAAAATATTTTTTCCTTGAAAATCCTATCAATGAGGAGGTCAGAATTAGTAAGATTCATTGACTATTTTGATATGTTGGAACCCTAGTTCTCTTAACTCATTGCAATTGTTAACCGCTGTCAAGCCTTCCAATGTATCCCTTTATTCTGTTCTATTCCTTTATTCCTCCAAAATCTAGCACAGAGTAGAGAAATCTCCTTGCAAATACCAAAATGTAGGCATTAGAAAGACATTACAAATATTGGGAGAACATTAATAGCTGAGTTAATGAGCAACTATTTTCAAATCCATAATGGCAGTTCCAGATTTCTTGTGGATCTGTGCACTTTGATTACCTCCAAGGTCTGACAGACCTCCTACTGCAGCTGTAAAGAGGTGTTCTTACTGAAAACAAAGAAGATTTATGAAGATTTACTTTATTGTCTATAAACCTGTGATAATCATGGAGAATTTTCATAATAGGTTGGCATGGAAGATTCAACAACACAAAAAATCAGGAAATCATCATCTTCTCCAGGAGTTTTGTTCAAGTTCAAGAAAAATAGAACACTTTTAATTTCTTCTTCCTTAGCCTTTGACACCAATTGAAAATTCATCTCTGTTGCAACAGTGTTAAGAATAAGCTGCAATATATCTTCTTCCCTTCTTGATCCTTTAGATTGGAATAACTAGTTGTAGAAGCCTCAATCTCTTCCTTTGATTCTGCAATTCTGTTTCCAGCATAAATAAGCCTTGTAATAGGACTGGCCTTCCTTTTTTGCATTGTTAGGTAAAATCTTTGTTATATTCCCTCTCCTTTAGCCATTGAGTTCTGGCCAATTGTTTCCAGAATTCCTCTTTAGATAGATAAGTCTGGTCTCACTTCTTCTTAACACTCTTCCATTCTTCTCAATTTCTCTGCCCACCATCTTCTCTCATCTCATTCAGTTTCAGGGAAAGCCTTTCATTATTTTGCTCCATAGAAGATTTAAAAAGTCTACTCCAGGCTACCCTTGTTCTCTTTATCTTTTCCTTAACCCAATAGGAGTTTCCTCATGAAATTCCTCCCAAGCCTGCTGCACCACATCTTCAATCCCATCCCTTTTCAACCACGTGTTATCAAACGTAAATCTCTTTTTTCTTTCTAGAACTTGTAGAGTCAGAATCAATGACCAACATAGAGTGGTCTGGTGCACTCCTGAAGAAGTTTAGTACTTTAGCACTGGGACTTTAAGCCAACCAATGAAAAGAACTAAACAACTTGTTCAACTTCTCATTTACATAGCCTTCTAACTCCCTACAATGAAAAGAACTAAACAACTTGTTCACCTTCTCCTTTACATAGCCTTCTAACTCCCTACTATTGCTCCAAGTAATATTATGACCCATCATAACTATTTCCTGCATTCCCATGCATGCTATAAAGTTATTAAAACCCAAATAGCTCCTACTAGATCATTGTCTGCCAATTTTTTTTTCTTCTCGAAACCTCCACAAATGTCATTCCAATCATCTCCCATACACCAGTTGTTCCACCAAAAGATGCTTATCAGCCTCCATCAGCCTCCACTGCTCGTCTCAAACCCATTTCTCAGTGCTAGCATAGATTAGAATAATCCATTCTGTGCCAACTCCTTCAAAACTCATGTACTCCAGTTGAAAGCAAAAGTTAAGTTGAAGCACTTGTACAACCTCCACATCTATATGCCAAAGAAACTATAACCCCCCCCCCC